TGAGAAGGAGTTCCACTCTTATTGCCCAGGCTGGAGTGCAATGGTGCGATCTCGGCTCACCACAACCTCCGCCTCCCAGGTTCAAGCGATTCTCCTGCCTCAGCCTCCCTAGTAGCTGGGATTACAGGCATGTGCCACCACGCCCGGCTAATTTTGTATAAAAAAAAAAAAAATTTTAAAGAAGTGCAGTTGATTCTTGAACAATAAAGGACTAGGGGGCCTGACCCCTGCACAGCTGAAAATTTTGCATATGACTTATGATTCCCCCAAAACTTAACTGCTAACAGCCTACTATTGACCAGAAGCCTCACCAATAACAAAGCCAAAACACATTATGTGTGTTATGTATTATTTACTGTATTCTTACAGTAAGCTAGAGAAAAAAGTGTTGTTATTAAGTGGAAGTGGGTGATCATAAAGATCTTCATACTTGTTTTCATGTTGAGTGGGCTAAGAAGAAGAGGTGTTAGTCATGCTATCTCGGGTGGCAGAGGCGGAAGAAAATCTGTTACGTGTCAAGGATCAACTGTAAATTAGAATGGTGGTTCCTAAAACACCTGGAGGTTGAAAGAGTAAGTGTCTGATTTAGTGGGTATAGGGTAGAGCCCAAGAATTTCCATTTGTTACAGATTCCAGTTGATAGTTGGGGGACAGTACCTGGACCACTGTACTACAAGGACTCCCTTCTTTTACCTTGCCTAGCCCTACACTTCTCCAAACTAAAACCTAACTTGATGGTCAAGAAATCAGGCCTGCCCATTTTGTCCACATGAAAAGCACCAGAAAACCAGCGTCAGGCCTGAGTTGTGCTGTTGCACTGTAGGTAATTGAGCACCCTAGAGGGCTAGACAATCAGATCAATGCTCTTCCTACATAGAAAACGCAAGCTTGAATGGGTACAAGAAATAATCACTAGCATTGTTTCCTGGCCGTAAGAATTTGCTCTTGGTGGCCGGGCGCGGTGGCTCAAGCCTGTAATCCCAGCACTTTGGGAGGCCGAGACGGGCGGATCACGAGGTCAGGAGATCGAGACCAT